TTATGATTCGCATTAAAATTTACAATCAATATTCGGTTTAGTGATGATATGAATTATCACTGAATTTATAACGTAATAAGATTTCAATGATCTATATATATGTTTCGATGAAATAAACAGACTTACATACATATATACATATATGTGTACATATCCATCACGAATTCAATAATATTTATAACTTTATATCATATGTCATTGTCACTAATAAAATTCATTATAATTTTGAACATACATTTTATCTATAACATTCGACCGAATGTTATGCATATAGATATATAGATATATATATATGCAAAGAATGTCAAATAATTTTTTTCTCAATGGAAAATCACAATTAAGATTGGATATTTCATGAGTGTGTAATAGTTATTTTATTTTAAATGACCAACTAGAATGTAAAAAATTAAATTTAATATGATTTTGAAATACTAATTTTAACTATGTCATGCATCATAAAGTTAATAGAAATAAATTTTACATAGTTTTAAAAGATTAAATTTTCATTAAATTTAACATTGAAAATTCATGATTTTCAAATAAAAATGAATAATGGTTTGTAGAAGATGTATATTTTTAAACTGTTCCAAATTAGAATAAATATAATCACGTTCATGCTTCTTGTATTAGTGTAGTTAGTAAAAAATTAACGTTCAAATGTCAAATGCTTGTAAATTAGTATTTTGAAGACAAAAACAGATTAATGAAATGTTCCAAATAGACACAACAGATTAACTACTGATATGATTATCAATGTTAAATACATTAAAGTGTGAAGCCAGTAAGGTACTTTGTTTTCATAAACTGATCAATGTTGAACTATCATTAGAAACTTGAAAGAATTGAACGGACATTTTGTCCTTGTACGAGACTCTTACCAGCAGTGTATATCTATGATCCTACAAGCAGGAATAAAACTTAGTGCCTTCAGTCTCACATGCGAACGTTGACCACTGAGCCAAAAATAGATTTCTAACTTATTTTTACAAATAATTTATCAATTAAATGTATTGTATTATTTACTATTTCATTATGAAATAAAAACTTTCATTGGTTAATTTGAATTCTATAAATAGTAGTTTGTCGATGTAATAAAAACTTGCATTCCTTTCACTATGAGTACTGTTGTAAATTTAAACATGATATTGTAAGAGTCCCATGAAATTAATGAAGAGTTCAATCAATGAGCAATCGATTTCATTTCGCCTAATAACATACACTCATCAAATTCATTTCAATGTTTTCAGATTTATAGACAATCGAAAGTGTTGCATTTCCAATAAAGTGAAGATTAAAGTGTCACTATTGAAAAAATATAAGATACTCGTTTTTGTTTTCATTAAAACAAATTATAATTTTTATATATTAGATAATTTAATGTAAAGATGTCATCTATTTTCAAATTACTTTGATGTCTCTTTAATTATTCACCTGTTTGTATCATGTATATTTTCACTAGGTTTTCTCTCTCGACTGATCAGTTACAGTCTGAGACGTCAATAGGAAGATTCATACAACCAATGCAAATGAATTCATCATTACCACATTGCATAAGTAAGCGATCTTTAGAACTCAGTATCAAAGTGGATAACGTGATCATTTCCAATGCTAAAAGTACTGAGTTCGAGTGCAGGAGTGAACATTGACTCTGAGATGCAGGTACATCCAGCTATGAGTACCGAATCGGACGAAACGTGCGTTCGGGATTCCACTGCTAGCCACTATTCACCGCTGTTAATGATTCACTTGGTTAGCCTAACCATTTATTCTATGATGTATGTCCGGTTCTTAATATTCCAAAGTGATTGTTTAGTAACATTTCCGAGCTAATTATGGACTTGAGTTTACCAAAAGCCGCGTCATACACTTTAGTCCAATTTCAAGTGCTGTACTTCTGCAATAGACAATTCAATGGAGCGCGAATATCATGCATCGAAGGAACAAACGATGAATAATAACTGATTAATCCGAGAAAAGATCGTAATTCCGAGACATTAGTGGGAGTGGGCATCAGTTTGATAGCTCGGATGTTCTCAGGATCCGGTCTGCGGCCATCGGCATCAAAGATGAATCCTAAATACTTTACCGCCTGTAATCAAAACTGGCATTTTTCTGGGTGTAGCCGGAAACCGTTGTCACCGATGCGTTGTAGTACCAATGTCGTGCGTTCCCGTACCTGTTCTAATGTCTTCGCAACAATTAAGAGATTATCGAGATAACCTGCAACCCCTGAAATATCTGATAGGATAGTACCCACTAGTTGCTGGAAGATAGATGGTGCAGTCTAAACTCCGAAAGGCAGACGGTTGTACTGGAACAAACGACGATGAGTATTGATGGTAAGCAGCTCTTTTGATGTTTCATCTACTTCCACTTGCAAATAAGCATCAGCTAGATAGAGCTTTGCGAAAAGCTTTCCCCCATTCAGCATAGTGAACAGATCTGCTGGAACTGGCAGAGGATAATGACGCTGTTTCAGAGCTGCGTTGAGACCTGTAGAAAATCAGCGCATATACGTACCATACCGTTGGCCATCTTAATAACAACTATAGGTGCTGCCCAAGTACAGTAAGAAACGGGAGTAATAACTCCTTGTTGTTTAGACCTTTGAGCCTTCACGTGCAAGATCAAAGGACCAATGTTCGATTAACGTTTGCGGTGTTGTGGATCCATACTGCTAATGAGTCCCATACAAGAAAGAAATGGTCGTCCAGTTCTTTCTGATTTCTAATGATGGTCTGACGCTAGTAGTTTCATGATTTTATTGAAACTCAATAATCTCCACAGACCTAAACTAATGCTTATATTTTCGAGATGTTGGCAAAAATTTGTAGCTCAGGTGGATGATTGTGAAAGTGTTTCATTCTCCGAGCTGGATGTTTTGGTTGTGGAGCTTTCTTTGTTCCCCTAAACAACATCATCAGCAAAAATGCCAGATAGAAGTGAAGTATACGAATTTCTCCTCGGAAGACAAGTAGCTTGTTTAGTCGTATGTGGAGATATTGGAATAATTCACTTCTATCTGAAGTTTGTGCTATTGATGTTGTTCAGAAGAACAAAGAAAGCTCTACAATGAAAACATCCAGCTCAGAGAATGAAACTGAACTACTTATATTTTCAAAGTGATGGACTACTTCTACGAGTACGTTGAAATCTTAAAATGAAAAATTTATTCTACGGGAAATTATGAATGAATCAACTGAATTACTATTCATCAAATATTATTTAAGATTATGTTTGAATATGATATAATTGATGAAGAGATAATAAATAAACTTGTAATCAATTGATTACATTAAAAAGGTAGTTTTCTATCTTACCTTATCTGGTCAGTTCATTTTGAATTTGTTTGTTTGTTTTTGTTCTATTATTAATCAATATAAATTATTATCATAATTTGATTATGAAATCAAATTTTTCTCAAGTATATTAAAGTATCATACAAAATTCAAATAAATTCCACTATTATTTAGTTGAATGTTTAAACAGGTGAAAATAGCCATGAATTTCCTGGTACATTAAAACAACAACACACAAAAAAAAACCCATAAAATATATTGTCATGAAACGGATTGTGAAAACTGTTGAATTTCATTGAAATCTTAAATCGATCAATGTTAGACTATCATTGCAAAACTTGAAAGTCATTTCATGATTTCAACAGAAAAACATACAAACAATGTAGAAAAATGAAAAGTTAATCATACTATGAAATATTTCATAAATCTAACGATAAAAAATGAAATTTATGTATATATATATGTTGTTTGTGTTTTATTTACCTGAAATGAATTGATAGTTTTAACTTTTAGTTTATCATGACCGAAATCAATAAAACAACAACAACAACAACAACAACAAAAATCTCATTCATTAAAATCTACTTTCAATTATCAATTTTCTTTTTTTTTTAAATGCTCATTTATGCACAACACATGAAAGATATCAGAACAAGTTATTTTGGTGACTGTAATGTTTTTTTCTTCTGCCGATATGAGTACATTAATACTTGTTTTCAATTCAGAAAATCATTCAACTAAACTACAAATCTTCTATATCATTTCAACAAGTTATCAGTTTGTAAACTAATTGACTGTTCATAAATTGACTCACTTTAGTGAATATTAAATTTAAGTTTGTACTTCAACTAACAGTAAATATATGAAAAATTCAACTCTGTGTGTGTGTGTCAGTTATTTTCAACTAGAATACTTAAATGATGAAAATACCTAAGCTGAAATTGGTTTTCTTTAGATTATATCAAGTGAAAATAGTTAGTAAGTCATAAAACTAATTATATTGATTTTCTGAAAAAATAACCACTAAACCTATTGATATTCCATAATCTTTTAATGAATTCAACCTTTACATAATTTGATTCATCCGATTCTCATTCTTCATGTACAAATTACATTGAAATATTTTCTGTTGTAATCATTCATCTAAGACAAAGTGTATTCTATTTATTCACTTATTTATGTACACGCATTTATTTATGCACACGCATTGAAGAAAGCATTGAATTGCGTCACATGACTAGCCTTCGCTTGAAATCCTCAAGAACAAAGGAAAAGTTAAAAACTAAACAACACATTACGCCAACAAATGGAAACAGACATGAAAAGAATGAACAACAATTGGACAGAACTAGAAAGGAAGGCCTCGGGACAGAGTAGGTTGGAGAATACTAGTCGGTGGCCTATACTCCATTAGTGGTAACAAGTGTAAGTAAGTAAGTAAGTAAGTTGGTCAGTTAGTTATATGCATACTTATTGATATAATTCATATTACACTCTACTTATCATGTTATTTCAACATAACTATACAATTTGTTTTTCTAAACTAAAATAGGACTAGATATGCGGTTTATATTATTTGATACTTAATAATTGAATAATTGAAATAACTAAAGTAAAATCTTCAATTTGTTTAGCATATTTCTTTTGACTACTTAACAATAAGTGCAAACAAATGAACTATTCAATAACATATTGAAACTGCTTTCATATTGATTGAGAACAAAAACAAAATTAACAAAATGAATTTTCTTTAAATAGAAAACAACAAAACCGAGAAACAAGAAAAAAACGAAGAAGAAGAAGAAGAAGAGAGAAACATACATCGATAGAAAAAAAGTGCAAAATAACTAAATATAATACACAAGAATAAATTACAGTAAAGTTGATTTAATTCACTTAAACAATGTGTGAATATAATCAAAAAAAGAAATTTGTTTATTTGTTTTGTTTGCTTTTTTTCAAAAATTTTCACTTTAACTTATTTCATAATTTTAATCGACGCACAACAGCAGTTGTATTCCAATTTGATTCTGATTGTTGAATATTATTACAATTAGTATTATTCACAATGTTGGAACAATTTTCATTTATCATTTCATCGGTTAAAACAATAATGTTTGCAGAATTATTCATTGAATTTGTTTGTAGTTTAATATTTTGTACACATGATGTTGTTGTTGTTGTTGTGGCGGTTGTTGTTGTTGTCATTTTGATAACATTGATTCCATTCAAATGCATAGATGATAATGAATTATTTACTGGATCAATGGATGATCTATACGAGATATTAGATGTATGACATGTTGGATAAAAATGCATTAATTGTCCACCTAATTGAGTTGGATCATCTTCACTAGCTCCACGTCCAGAATCAGCTGATTCAACATCCAATTCACAATGAATATTACCATTTGGAATTCGACGACCAGATGTAGTATAACAGCATCCTATTGCATTATTGGTACCAATTATTAGAGGCTTCAATAAAGAGAGAGGGGGTAAGAAATAAACACAAAAGGTTAAGAAATCTTTGCAATGAATTGAAAAAAAAAAATTAAAAACAAAAAACACAAGTAGATTAATTTGTTAGGATTAAAATACAATGATCATCTAAGACTGTTATACCTCTGGATAGAAGATATGTGATGGACAAACCTATAGCATCTATTCAGTTATTATATTTAGTAATTAATTGAGACAAGAGATGAATTTTCTAGTTGGTCTACAACTGAATAGCATAAATTTACGGTAATATCAATCGTGTGCCGTTAGTGATATGAGAGCGGATATCACTTCCCAGCTGCCCACACCATGGAATGGTATTTCTTGAGGAATATAACAAGGAAATTGGGTTAAAAATGGCATTTTTTTATTTTCTTAGAAGTTTGATTATGTTTCGTTTACACTGAACTAACAATAATGATCATAGGTATTTGAATTTTATTAAATAAATGCCTTAATTCAAACATAGTTTTGTTTGTTAAATATTAAATAAGAGTTAATAATTTCTTAAATAGGAAAATGTAGCTTTATAAATTAGAAAATTTTAGAATAATTTATATGAAGTGAAAGATGTGTGAATAGAAAACAAAAGCTTACATTTATTGCATAAAATGAAATGATACAAAATTAAAGCTTGAATGTAATTAATTATTCACAAATTGTGATAGTCATATGCAGTATGAAAATAATCATTCAGGTGAAATTTGATGAAAATCTAAAGAAACAGAAAGTTTTCTTCTATTATTTATAATGTTTAAAATTCTTTAATGTTTTAAGATAAAACTAATTATCGGAGAATTTCCTATTGAACAAAATAAAATGGAATTTCATTGATACCATGAAATGTTAAATGTTTGAATATTATTGAAAACCTGAAATCACTAGAAGACTATTTAATCCTACTAATGAACTCATCAACTGTGCTCATCTACGACGTAATACGCGATAATTTAGTCCATTAAATTAAAGCTCAGATAGAGCAAAAGAATATTTAACCTCTTGACTATTGCAGTCGGCATTCAACTGTTTTTAATGTCCTATCAGCTTTAGAATTCTAATGAAACTGACAACAATCTCTATAACTTTTTATTAAATAAATTATTATATGCTCACTAATAATTAACTTTTTGAAAAATGTATCATATAAAGAAACTAAGAATATCAAATAAATGCTTACTTACTTTAATCCATTATAAGCATTAATTAATTTAAAAATACATTCAATAAAACAATTTTTTATTTTCTTATTGTGAAAAAGTAGTAGGAGTAGTAGTAGAAAAAAATTTATACATGTTGACATTGAGAGAAAATTGAAATGATTGTCTAAAAACTGGTTCATTTTGATAGAATTAGAAGATAAAATTGACCACACCTAATATAAATTAATTTTAATCAGACTAGAGAATTAATGAAATAACAACAACAAAAACAGCAGCATTGAAAAAAAGTAGCTGTTACAATTATTATTATTATTATTATTACGATTAACTATGAACAGTAATACTAATAGTTAACAAGTAAAGCATCCAACCAACTAAAGACAAATTTAAGAATTTCAATTGAAAAACAAATGACTATCAGTCGGTCAAAGCATGAAATCATTAAACTAAATTAAGTCTTGCCTATTTAATAATCTATAATAATTACTGTTCATTATGTAAAACAAATCGTATTCAAAGATGAATTTATGAAAATTTTGTTTGAATATGAATTCTATTTTGGTAGTAATGTATATTTATATCGGCTTTAAAAGGTTAAATTATATTTTCAGCGTGATGATATTCTAGTAAATGGCATTTAAATAGTCATATAAAGAGAGTGTAATTATGTTATCAATATGATGTCTTTTCGTCTATATAAGTCTTGATTATATTACACATGAAGCAAGCAATTTTCTGTAAATTTCAGTCAGTAAAACTAAGTGAGTATCTCCGCCTATCATGTTAAAGGTTTGCGTGTGATTCCCAGTCAAAATGTCGTCTTTGCTCTCAATTACCTTGGTATGGCTAGGAGTAGCAGGAACCAACTCTCTCTTCACATGCTTTCATATGGACACAAGTATATACATTCTTAAGGCGAGGGGTGTCACCATATTGAGAGCACGAAAAGCAATCAGATCTGTAGGTCAAAGTCATGATGAGTGACCCCCTAATTAACCATCTTGTTCGGTCAGAATACCCTAGTACTCCTTTTTGTAGTGATAATTACGTGTTTAAATAAATAACTAGATAAATAATTACTAAACTTTGAAGAAAATTAAAGTTATTTAAATAAATATAAATTTGGTAATGAGTTGATTATTTCCAACTGAAATTTTAACAAGTTTTACTATCACAGTCAGTTTATCACTAACAGTGTAATTCAAGAAGCATGTTTCATCCTATTCGAATCATTTTAGTTCACTCTATTGACTGATTGACTTAGTCATAAAAAGTATTCACTGAAATATACACCAATAACATCTGATATACAGTTAGAAATCATTGTGAAAGCATCAATTGAACTTGATTTCTTTAAATTTAAAGATCAATATAAAAACAAGATAATCTACACACACACACACATACACACATTGATCTCTACATAATAGACTCATGTAAGAAATTCAATGTAATATGAATTGCATACATAGATGTCATTGTTAAATGAGAAAAAGAACATGATTGATTTATTTCAAAGTGTTGCTGATTTCATGATTAATGAAAACAAGTTAAAGTGTTAACCAAAATGCCCACAAAAAATAAATAATAAACAGGCTTGAAAAAGTTTTTTTTTAAAAAAAAAAATTATGAATATATGTGCACCATATCCAAATTTGTGACCCTTGACCTAATTTGCATAAATGAACAATTGTAAATGACATGAAACATCTGCTCTGATAAAATAAAAACAAATTGAATTAATTAAGATGGTGTAAATCTGTTGAATATAATATTGTTGTAAAGAAGAATGAAATGACAGCATTTTTAAAAAGAATCTTATTGAATAGTGAATCACATTCCAGGTGTACAGGATGAAAAATGTGATAAGTTTCACTAAATCATTCATTGACCATTTTAATTGTTTGAACACAAGTTAAAATGAATAAATGAACAATGAAATGATTTTCATACCATACTATGGATAAAAAAAAATATGCAAATAGATATTATTAAAAGAGAGATGGATAATGACAATTAGTGGAATCCAAAACGCACATTTCGTTCTATTCGGGACTCATCTGTATCTGCATGAACTTGTATCTTCAAGTTGATGTTAACTCCAAGACTTTAACCTAGCTCCTTTCGCTTAAAACGCCATCATGTTATCCACTTAGCTAATCAGTCCAAACGGCCGTTTGCTTATGAAATAGAGTGGAGACTAATTCAGTTGTGTTGGTTGTTTAATACAAATAAACTTAGCTACAGAAGAGCCTGAAATATGACGAAACGAGTGTCCTAGATTCCACTACTACACACCATCCATCTCTGTTATTTAATCCTTGTAACCTAAGAAGAGGATCGAAGCAATCAGCACTGGATTCATACATATGCCAAATAAGACTGATCAATTGCAGTCCTAAATATCAATGGGACGATTCAAACAACCAATGCAAATGATGGCAGATATTTAAAATAAATTTCAAGTTGAACGACATTTGCATAAAACGCGTTTGACACTTGAAAACATAAAATTTGTATTTCAAAGTTTTATAAATGAATACTTAGCAAGATAAGATTTTTGCGGAAATGACAGGATTTTCATAGATTTTATTTAAATCACTATTGAAAAACCTGAAGGCAATGAACGGTTGTTTATGTTTTAGTATGAGATATCCGGTACTTTCAGTTACTTTCAATGGTGATCTAACCAAGATCATTTCGTCATGAACATAATAATTAATAAATAGGTGGATACCGTTAATATATATCTTTCAGTTTTACTAACCAAATAGAAATGATGTAAACAGCACATAAATTTTTCACTCTTATAAAGCTAAGTTAATAAGCCACATGAACTGTGATTAATTTAATTTAAACGAATTAGTTGATTTAAAGAGTTTATTGTAATAATGTTATCTTTTCTTATCAATATGTAGAAATGTTACAATTTCATGTAGTTATTATAACAGTTTATATGGATTCATTGTTGTCAGCTATTTTCTTTAAAAAAACAGTTCAGTTATTCAAATGTTAATCGAACAAATAAATAGTGTATATTCGATAAGTAAGTCAGTCCTGTTAAACTATCCTTAATTTTAAATAATTAGTATTGTTCTCATTTAGCCTATGCTTCATGAAGCGTAACACGTATGAATATAAGTAGTTGATAATTAATTTGGAATCTTCATATTGGAAACTAACTTCTCTATGTTCAATGTTACATAGTGAAATTTTAAAAATATACTAAAAACTTACACTAATGCATTATATCATGTTGTGTTTAGTATTTAGGGTTGATTAAATTCTATCCATATAAAATTGTTATATGGATTCTAGTATAAGAAGAATTCAAATTCAAATCTTCATAGAATAACAATTCATTTTCTCAATAACTTGTAGTTAATGAAATTCAATTACCATTTCTAACAATATTATTGATTCATCTAATAGTTTCCATGGTTGTAATAATAGTGTAAAAAAAAAGAAAACTAACATAAAAGTTTGCCATCGATTATTTACAAATATTTATCAGCATCATCATCATCATCATCATCACTGCATATTGTTGGTTATTTTTTTTTATCATCAAATTTCTTGAACAAATAAAATTTTCAATTGAATTATATGAAAATATAACCTTAGTTATTGCATTCTCTTAAATATTCATTCAAATATTCATTTTTACCTAAGTGAAGTAACTGGTAAAAATGAATGTTGATGCCTTCCCTCCTCCTGTATCACTCTGTATTAGAGTTGATGTTCAGTTTGAGATTCGAACTCAATACCAATTGCTTCAAATACCATTGTGTTATTATCAACTTAACTGTTGAGTTC